AGAGGTATTTAAGTAACTTGAAGAGTAGTGTAAATGGAATTAAAGTTACTGAATCTAATCGTAAAACTGGCTTTCTAGGCCTTTTTGGTACGTATTGGTTTGTATATGACTGTATAACTTAGACGACTGTATATGACTTTTTGGTTTGTCTATGATTTACACTATGAAATATTAATAAAAAAGCTATTGATATACCTACTATCATGTAAATTATGCCAAGATCATACTGAAAGCTTTTCCCAAATGATTCGCATGCAAGGAGAATGTAACAATAATTCTATATCATATCAGTTTAAAATTTCATATAAAAAACTACTCGTACAAACTCAAATTAGCGATTTTGCTGATGGCAACTGCATCCCACAAGAATGCATAAACATTCTTACTGCACCTAGGACAACTATGTCTGAGAAAGTAATCTCTGTTACGTAATTATTTCTGTGAAAGATATATATTGAGGAAAGGTCAAATAAATACTACTGAATCTATTCCACAGTTATACACAAAAGTATTTTATTCAAACAGCAGATAAAAATTTAAATATATAGATAATTAAAAAAAACTCACGTTTTTATTACATGTAATGTATAGTTTATGGAAACAATTATCCCGCTTTGTTGGATATATAAGCTTAAATATATCCGATTGGATATAAAAACAGAAAGGTATGTAAATTTATGTCTTTTCATGGTTATTTATTTCGATGTAAAATGCACATCTCGAAATTTGTTGAAATACTTGTCAATTTGTATGTCCTAGAATTATTAAAAAGTAAGCCAATTTGTATGTCCTAGAATTATTAAAAAGTAAACCAAAATAATTTTTATGTTTAACCATTTGCTTATTACATTTAAAAATTAAATTAATATGTACGTACATTTAATTTCTTTTAACTGTGGTTTAGTAAATAACCAGAAGTTAAAAAAGTGCTTAGTTGCATATTTCCAGAAATGATAAACATATTTATTTTGAATATCTTATTACACTTACATATTGCTTTATGAAGGGTGTGTGTGTGTGTGTGTGTGTTATTATGGCAAAGCCTCGAGGGCTATCTGCCTAAGGGAAGGGATGCCTTCGTGGAGGACTTTCTAAGGGAAACTGGCTCGTATACACGTTACACATGGGGAAAACCACGAAAACGCCCATGCAGTCAGTCCGTTCGCGTGCTTTATGAAGGAAAAAATATTATAAATGTTTCTAAATCAATGAAAGAAATTTACTTCAGAGTGCTATAAATTTACTGATTTATGTTTTTTCTGAAGGCATATTATTTTGTATGTAAAAAAATAAAGATATTTATTCCCTTTTTACAGTTTTCTTTTCAATCATGAAATATAATTGAATATTATTTCATTTTTTATACCTTATACCTTTCGTAATGTGTTACGAATAGTTGTACTGCAGTTTTGTGTGGATTCAGAAACCTAACACTATAAAAAGAACACTAAATTAGCACAGAGCCAAAACGATCACTGGAGGTGCCGGGGTTCGAACACGGGGCCTTTCACATGCAAAGCGAACGCTCTACCACTGAGCTACACCCCCTTCACTAAGCCTTGTTGTAGAGGGTTACATAATAGAGAACTAAGAAAATGTTACTAAAGTTTTAGCATCAATACTTAAAAATAATTATTTAAAATATTTTCATTAGTACTTATTTTTAACAGAATTCGAAAACAATGACGCAATAAAATTCCGAAAACGTTATGCAGCGCGCTGATTGGTTACTGAGTTTTAATCATCAACAATGATAGCTGATTTTATCCTACGGTCGGTAATTCAGAAGCAGTAACTCGGATGCAGTATAGCAGTATTATCTGTACTGTTGCAATTTTAATAAAAGTGGGCATGTTTTTTTGTATCAGACAAAGACAATTTCCCAATACACGTAGAAATTTTCTCACCAGGAAACTATTAGAAATAAATTAGAATAGAATTTAAATAAGCTTTTATTTTTTTAACGTAATTTGGAGATTCCCTGAGCTGAGGAACCATCGGAATGAACCACCCCTTAATTAGAGCTTGTTTTTGATGTATATTACGCAAATCTGTTTGTTTAAATTTTTTTCTTTATGTGTTTTATCATTTTGGTTTTTCTGATTCCACGAAGATGAATCAAAATTAGACTATTCTCGAGTTTCAACAAAAAACGCCCCCTCCCAAAAGAAGAAAATTCTAAATATTGATAAATGGGCAAAATTTAAGATTGTTTTTTTAATTGCAATTAAGAATTAAATTATTTAAATTTTCAAAATATGCCAGTAAATGGTTTGAAAAAAAGAAAAATTTAAATATTATTTGCATCAAGTATCTGTCTCCTGAAATTAAGTCAAATAATGAGCTATTTCAATGACTTCTATAGCCATTAAAGAATTTCTGTTTTACTGTATTACAACTTAAAGCTGAACTATTAAGCATACTAAAATAAAATAACTTTCTTTCCCATTTCTTAAACATTTGTGTATGAAATGATTCTTTAACAAAGTACGATGATATTGCGAATAAATCATAAATATCTCTTTTTAAAAGAAAAATTGGTAAGTACACCCAGCTCGTTGCTAATAAACCTAAACAAACCCTTGAAATATGCAAAACCATCATTTTTAAATACTTTAATGTTATACACATGCATTTAGATTTCGAACTATTTCTTGTACATAGTAAACTATAGCTATCATCTTTATTACTTTAAAACAAAAATTTAACAATAGCGAGGAATTCCCTTATAAATTTAACATATTTTTACTGGAAAATGCATGCATGGAACATGCGTACGTTTTACTGCCGTAAAGCAATGTTTTGAGTTTACAAACATGGCCGCCGCTTGTTAGGTAAGGTTTCCGGACGGCAGAATTTAGGGTAGGTAAAAAGTCTAGCGCCGGCTATCACCATTTTTATAATGTTGAAAATAAATCAGAGATCTAGTAGATTGCTGATTGGTTATTTTCAGACTCTCACAAAAATTTGAGAACATTTAACAAAAACATCAACGGTGAATAACATATAGGAGATTATGACGTTATTTTGTAATAAAGAAATAGGCAATACCTGAAAAATCGTCTCTCCTGTTTTCTTGAATAATGCTTTGCCTGCAATTTCTATTATTTCTACGTTTAAAAAAATGGCTACTTTAAAGATGCGTATATGATCGGGAATTCGAAAAGGAATTCCTAAGAGTTGCGGATTTGTTTAATACAAAGCATTTAACATTTATTGGCATAACAGATTAAGTTTGACAAAGCACACCAGGGTTTTCTTCTGAAGAGGACGGATGCATTTGTGGAAGACTTTCTAAACAAAACTGCTTATTCGTATTCACGTTACACGTAGGAAAATCATTTACGCAGCCAAACTGTTAGCCAGGGTTCGCACCCGAGACAAACTAACACTATTCAGCAAACATCTCTAACCTCTCGGCTACTGGTGGGCCTTCATATAATAAAACGTTATTCAAAGCATCACATAATTAAAAATGACAGAGGCTCTTGAAATGAGAGAACCATTAAAAATGTGAAAATAATTGAAGACTAAGCTCCTAAACTTGCAGCAGAATATCAGTCATCTTATGGGATCTCTACTAATTTAGAGATTATTAAATTATACTCCAATCCACTGGATATACAAGTGGGCACAATTAAAAAAAAATTCTGTTAGTGGGAACACGGAAGCTTTCTTTTCAAAAATTTATGAGAAAAAAATTTTTCGAATATTTGAATGTAATAGTTTCTGACAAAAGCTATTTGAATATATTTGATGAAAATAATTAATTTATAAAGAAAATCGACTCAAAGAAAAAATTTTTTAAACTAGTTTCAAAGATGTAGAACATTATAAAGGAGATATTATGATATGAAGATAGATCTCGGTTTTTGAAATCATAATCTTGCTTTTATTGATAGTGCAATGAATCAATATAAACATTTTGCTATATTTTAAATAAGCTTTTAAGCCATCAGCACAAATAAAAGTGCGTAGTCTGAAAAATTTTAAATTCCACTAAAAATTATCTGTTGTGTCTTGAAATAATCGACAGGTTTCCCCTCGAAGTAAAACAAAATTGACATCAAAAAGTCTTTCTGCAGCTAATGCTAAATGCCGCCAAAATGGAGATAACAACCGAAGTATGACACATACTTAAATGTTTGTTATGTAATGTAGTTATGAATATAACTATGCAAGTTTAATAATCAATAGAATTAAAAGTTTTATGATAAAATTCAAAAATTGATGCTGCAATAAAACCAGCACATAGAGAGCATTCTGAAATGGAGATCAAAATTTATACAAAAGGTCGTTTGTTGTTGTTTACATTCGAAATGGCTTCCCTTTACTCCTATCCTAGAAAACCATTTCAAAATGTAAAGTTAACAGTAAACACGAATATCAAATAAATACAGGTAATTCCATTACCATTAAATTTTACTGAAAAACAGGAACAATAAATATATTTTGCTTTTAATATGCAATTCTTATTGTGGTAGGGCAATTAAAGTGTTCAAGAAAAGAGTTTTTAGACTTCTGCCTTGACTGATAGACTGAAATATGAAAAGTGAAATTACAGGTCTTTATTATTATTATTATTTATCTGTTTTTATTATGATTTTTTATTATTATTTTATTTATTTATTTTCAATATTTTAGAAACTAGAATGGAAAACAAACTTTAAAAATGCAGGGTATAAAATGGAAAAAAAAAAATTACAAATAATAATAAAATCATCAACATGCTAATATAATAAGTTCTAATTAAGAATTACTTTAGCAACTCCAGTTTGGAATACTAAATCATTTTCAGTATTTCATATAATAGATAAAGGCGATTGTTAAAATGGTCGCTTTTATTGAAATGTCTTGGGCTTGCAATATATCACGTAAATATTTTAAGTCTTCAAGAAAAATATTCCGGCAATATTAAAAAAAAAATTAATTCATTAAAATGTAATGTCAAATTAGTAAGTGTTTAGATTATATTTAGAAATACCTATTTAAATTCTTACCTTCTATTAACGTTATCCTGTTATTGTCTAAGGCTAGGCTAACTGCTCTTTCAGAATAGAAGGCAAAAGCAGAGGAAATCCAATGGTGGTTGTTCACAAGACGTAAGCAGTACCTAAAAACGACGTAACAGTAACGAAAAAGTTAAATCACTAGCAAGCATTAATTCACGAACTAGGTGAAGACTTGGAACTAGTGCTTGCAACCAGTTGTTTTGAACATGGAGGTAAGCACACGATACGCTCAGATATTGTCGAATACTAGTTCTAAAGCCGCAGGCGTCTTTACTCAGAGAAAAGGGGCCCACTAACTTTGGGGTGTCTGTGAGAAGTATTCTCCTCCAAGAGGGGGGGGGGGACATCGCAAGGAAAGACGGCAAAAATTTCTTGCTGCAAGTGAGGAAGAAGTCGGGAAGATTGCTCATGTGTACGTGAGTTAAAATTTTGCGTTCGAGGGGTCTGGACTTTTCAATTGTAATATTTTTAACTGATGTAGAATACAGTGTCCGTCGGGTGTCTTCTGTTTTAAGAGAGTAAATAAATAATGCACAAATCATTACTAGAGCAGAACATCCTTTTTTATTAGCAACTTCTTTTTTAATATAATTTAAAATTGCTTTATGTAATAGATCCGATGAAAGTATGATCAGTTTTCGGATAGATGATGCCAGTAACCATGCAACTTTTCACGGAAAGAGCGTAGAAGTTAGTCTGCAGATAATTTTACTGTCCACCTTTTCTCTATCAAATAACGAAGAGTCTGCATGCATACCAATGTATGTATGTTCCTCGCTTTGTGGAAAACCATAAGGACTTACAGCAAATAAATTTTGTATGCACCTCAAAGCCTAAATTTTATTATTTATTTCATATTTTGTGCGAAATTAATGCAGCTTTGGTTAACAAATTCGGCGAATTAAAAGCAATATATTGTCAATCGTCTTAGAATTAAATGTTTAAGTTTCGAATTTAATCAGAAATCTCCGCGATTTAAAAGATATATGTTGCCACTTAACAAAGTGTAGTATAGTTGTCTTTCAAATCTAATCAACAAATTCAGCGATTGTAAAGAAATTTGTAACTTTTCTGCTGAAATAAAATATTTTTATCTTTGATGCATTACTGAATTGTCCTTCGGCAAAGCGCAAGATATTTTTTCTTCAAATTTAATCTATTTGCTAATGACTCATTAAAATGTAAGAGTCATTAAAATTATTACATATTTTCCTTTTTCAATAGTACCTACTTTATGCGGGGCTTTAGGATTTTCGGCTATTGCCCTTTTGCCGTCGCCCTTTCGCCTACAGTACAATCCGTCAGCGGCTGAGTCATTTCTTCCGCCATCAAGTAGAAATAAAATATGTAATAAAAGTTGCTAATAATGCACATAAATTACTTATTTACAAATATGGGATATAAAGAATTATGTCATGATGAGATACAACAACATCACATTTCATGATTATGTGCTAAACCTCTGAGATATTCTGTAATATTATCGTTCCTAAAATTATAAAAATACAGTGCTTAAAAGATTTATCAAAATTTTTTGAAATTTTGATCAACCAGATCAGAGAAATTGTCCATGGAAGCAGAAAATTCACATTTTCCTGAAATCTTAATTGAAACTGTAATTACTTTTGAGTCTTGTTAGCACATTACTCTCTAAAAATTAATTAATATGTAGATAGGTATACTAATAAGTTAATTTTTATGTCATGTGTAACGATATATTTTGTGTAAAATTATTTACAAAAGCACTGCATATATTATAAGTGCTACCTCCCTTTTTTCTGCCTGCCTTCTTGGTGTAACTGGAAGCAAGCACGACGCTTTTCGAGAGTCCGGATTTCAAATACCGATGACGGCATTGTGCACTTTTTATTATTATACTCATTATTACATAATATTATTTAAAAGGTTTTAATACCAGGAATTTGCTGAAATGTAAATGTTAACAAACCATCTTGTTCTTTAAATGGCAAATGCTTAGAAAGATATTTTATCATAACTTTGGCTGCAAAGCAATTTCTTGCATGCAATTTATTTTAAAATGCTTGCAAAAAATTGAGCTTTAATATAAAATCAAAAAAATTAATGTTTTTCAATTATATAAAAACTATACCCCTCAAATCTTATCTTAAATGTGGTCAATTTATTTTGAAATTTCCTTATTATTATGTTATATTATTATGTTTAATTTTAACATTAAGCTTCATTCCATTATTTTATATTATTTTTATAATTATATTTCATATTAATGATGAATGCTTTTAGTTATTGATTTGAATTCAGCTAAATTCTAACTTTTCAAGTTTAAGACAGCTTTAATTTAATTTAGAATTAACTTACAGAATTTCGCTTCCTTTTGCACCATAAACTCGTGAGCTCTAGAAAGACTGTAGAGAAAGTTTCCTCTAATCTGAAACAGTAGGCAGACAAAATCAGAATAAGCATCCTTCTGTAAATAGCCCTTTTATTCGATCAAAGAACTGACAGTCGACTCCACTTGAGTTAACATAAACGAGGAAGGAAGCCTTTCTGTGGCTGAATGCTTTTTTCAAAAGCAATAATTCACAATATGCGAGCATTTATACAGATAGCCAAAGTGTTTCAAAGGCATTATGTTTCACGAAGACAACATCTTTATTTATTCAAACTCTTCAAGAAGCAATAAATATGTCCATATGTCGAATATTCATGTCCATTCATGTCCATATTAGCCTTATGGACATGATTTAGCCTAAATGGGATACGGGGATATACAGGTATAACACGGAATGAAGCTGCTGATACTGCAAAATGCCACACATAATGAAGCTGCTGATACAGAAGGTTGCCACATTAAAAGAAGTGGTTAATATCGATCTTCCTATTTCAAGTCTTACAATCACGAATAAAATTTCTAAACAAATTTTAATAAAATGGCAAAGAATATGGGACGAGGCCGATACAGGAAGATTAACTCAAGAATCAAACAAGTATCCTTAAAAAAAAATAAAAACAAATGTCCTCTTAGTTACAAATAGCAACAAATCATAGAAAGTTTTCATCTTATATACAGCGATTCTTAAGAAGAAATGTAAGATGTGGCTGCGGAACACCAGCATATGTAGCAGATGTTAAGCATTATATATGGGAATGTCTATTACTTACAATTATTACAGAAAACACCAGGATTTGCAACAAAAATTCCTTCGAAAGATTTATTTTACAATACAAAGTGTGTGTCTGCACTTCAACAAATTATGAAAAATAATTACTGAAAACGAAGGCAAGGTGATTATAAATAATTAATTATATTACATTGTAAGGATCTTAAGTTTTACTAACGTTTATTTTATTTTAAAACTTTACTATCTTTCTTATTTTTCACTTGTCCAGAATTAAATGCTTTAACTTTTTTATGCAAATTGTACTTGCTAACGCCCAAGTTGTGGCTTTTTGCCAAGAGTTAGAGAGAGAGGGGAAGTGAGCCGCCTTGCTACTGCATTCTTACGAGTTTTCAATCAGTTGCTGCTTGCCTTTAGGGCCAGAGGTTTAGTCCTCTTGATATTTGAAAACGTATTGTAGTTTCAGCTGTTTGCGTACTACCTACGTAACCTTTTAAAAAGATCAGGCTTAGTGTTAGGCATTTGTAATCTAATTCAAAGTTAGCTTTTAGTTAGTAGTTTTATATTTTTACGTTCAGACCACAAGTGGTTGGTCTCTGTATCCCTGCTTGTGTCGTCTATTCCACACATACTTGAACATAGCTTTAGTAAGCTCCCTGTTCTTATTCAGGATACGTAATATTTCCAAAGCAAGTCAAAAGACATACAAGTCCTGACAACATTAGGAATTAGAAAGTATTTAATGGCAAGTAAAGATTATAGCATGTCCTGTCTACATTTGTGAAGAGCCACAGAATAAGAGAGAATTATATTTTCTTTCCATCTGTATAATGTTTTTCTTTCTTACTCTATTCTTTTATTACTTTATATGTTTAACAAAAGACTAGTGGGTCCCATTGACGAGGGTATTCAAATTTTCAGTCGATTATCGGAGATTATCGATTATTATTAGTCCAGCCAGTTAACCAATGTTTATATTATCAGCCTTATGTCTGTATATGCTGAGAGGATGTCTGATCAGTTGCCTGGGCAATATCGGCACAGGATTTAAAATTATCCCACCGTAGCTTTCTTCATTGAACGGGACGGGAGTTTAAAATATAGATAAATAGATATTTGATTAAGAAAATATTCGAAAAGTTGACACGCTGTTGCTCGTCTCCATGTTGCAACATCTGGACGCGTTGAAATCAAATAAAAAAACACCAGCAGAAAAGTGCAGAAGCCTGAGGACTGTGGTTTCCGGTATATCCAATCTGCGGGCAACAGTTCTTGTAGTATGTAATGGACCTGCAGAAATCGTATTGTGCATTTCTGCAACAACTTCAACAGGAATAGAGGGTCGTCCGGATTGCGGTCTATCACATGTGCATCCAGTTTCCTCAAATTATTTTGCCAAATGAAGTGCAGTTTTTACGGAACATGGGCCTCATCCTAGCATATGATTTAGCCTATAAAGTCGCACACTGCTTCATCAGTATTTTCTCTTTCAGATAAAACAGCTTTATCATTTCACCTCGTTGTTTCTATGTAAGTAGCATTAGCATGTTCTAACACCTAATTGAAGTAACAATCGTCCCACTCTGCTTATTAAAAGGTTTTCCCAAACAGTGCTTTGCATATTTTTTGTGATTGGCACTGTCTGTTCCTGTGAATCACATGATCTACACTTGTGATTGGTGTTGTCTGTTCCTGTGAATGGCGCTTATTAATTTGCGCAGGAAAAAAGTGGGTGTTGTCCTTCGAAAGTTTCGATTTTTTTTCACTGTAACCATAACCGTGGGAGCTACATTGTTTTAAATCATCACAATCTCGAGAGCATACCTTCAGATAACAACATCTGATATTACATTTTGATTGGTTCAGCGGATAGGCCGCTAGGGTTCATATGTTGGTGAGGTTTTTTATGACCGCCCTGTGTATTATCTTTACTGTAAAGTTTTAGTTATTAATAGAGGACCCAACTGCTTACCTTCATGCGAAAGTGTGAGTCAATTTATGCGTAGTTTCCCACTTATGTCGAGTTTCCTGTCTCATACTTATCTTTCAGAAAAAGGTGTATAAAACATACCCATAAAATTATCTTATGAGTAAAGTTAATCCAAATTATCTTATGAGTATTTCATATAGCATAACCATATATTACCTTATGCTAAGATTCATGT